ATATATATATATGTGTGTGTGTGTGTGTGTGTCAATCAAAATTGAAATTTACATATTAAACATGTATGTATTCATCTTTGTGCAGTACTTCATAATATACAAAATTTTAATTATATTTTTATTAAATTTTGTAGATTGAACTCTCCTTGAGATTCATAGTTGTATTACTTATAACTTCCTTATTCATGGGCAAAGCTGACTCAGAATTGTCTTTCATTCCAAGCCGAAAACTATATGCATCCGGTGGATTCCAATAGGGAATCTCACCCTTCTGATTCCATCAATTTCATAGAGATTTCATGCCAATTAATCACATTATAAGTTGTTGCTTTGTTTTTTGGCTCGACCCAACACACGTTAATACTAAATTTAATTAGATTGCGGATTACATCACTTCATTTAAAAAACAAAAATATTTTGGTTTAAGGAGTATTGACGAGGTTATCAAAATGGTCTCTTTACTATTGCTAATGAACCCTCTTTTGTATTTATGTGGATTATTTTTTCAACACTTTGAGCTCAAATTTTGAGTCTAAATTTACTATAATGTCCTCGTTGCTCCATTCAGCATCTAAAAAACTTCTTCCAGACATGATTAGAATTTGATTTTATATATATCATACCTGATTAGGTCTAATGATGATACTTCTTTGAAGTATTCCAATTTTGACTCTTTTTTCTCCAGTAGAAATCATGGCAAAAGCCCAAAAAAAATCATGAAATATCTTTCTCTCATCATTCGAATGAAAATGAGAATATGTTTCTAGTTTTTTTTTTTTTTCTTTTTTTGCTGGCCTATTTGGCCTTTTAAGTTGTGATTATAATTAATGATAATTTTTTTTAATCAAGAAAATAAATCAAGAAAAAATAAAATCAAGCTTTTATATAATATTAGCAAACGGAAAGAGGCGTTGGACTTGGGATCTGGTGATACTTGAGAGAGGAGACCCAACCACCTTTTAATAAGGAAACTACAAAGCGAAGATCTTGGGCCAAACTCTAGACTCTTGATTTAGAGAAAATATTATGTTCATGATTTGGACATGTGGACAATGATGTGGATCGCACCACGTCGCTGAAGACATGCCGTGATGCGATCCGCACCATCGACCGACCACACGTTTGGTTTTTCCCTTGCCTTGGGAGAACAAGCCAATAAATTGGATATTTCCAACCACTAAGATTTTAGTATAAAAAATATATCAATAATTGTTAATTATCAACATTTTTATTGGTGTGTTCACGAATAAAAAGTCATCAATATTAGTGCTAATGATTTCACCTAATTACAAAATTCACACACCACATCTTGTAGTAAGAATATATATGCATAGTAAACTTTATGTGTGACTTTTTCATGTATTAATGCTTGACCATTTCCTTTCTGTTTAAGAACCGTACTTAACATTTAGTGTTTAGAGGACACTGCAGCTGTAAATTTTGACGATAAAACAGAAAATTTTGTGGAATATAAGACATTTTGTAGACTGATTGTGACATTGAAATCTTCTTAGGCTGAGCAGGATACGAAATATTAATAATTTATGGTCAGCAACGCAGACCCGCAACTTATAGAGATATATATTTAATGTTATGGGTTTTTCCACTTGGAATTAATTTTAGCTAAGCTATGACCAAAGTAATTAAAATAATAATAATAATAATAATAAAATTATTATTATTATTATTATTATTATCATCGTTCTTTCTTGTCTGCTTCTTCTTGTTGACAGAATAAATTTTATTGATATGAAAGCACGTCCAAATATTAGAATTGGAGTCCACGATCTTGTTATTGTTTGAGCATTTTATGATCCAAACAAAAAAGCTATTGGCATGAAATTAGATGATATTTATAAGATTTTTATATAAATAACTCTAAAATTTTTATTTCAAAATATAAGCAAATTAATTAAATAGGTCCACTTTGCTCCTAAATTAGAGAAAATGAAATTAAAAAGCTAAAAATCACTAATGTACAATAGTAGATCAACAATAATAGACATAATTAAACCGTAAAATGTTTAGTTCTTGGCAATAATGGCAATAATTGACCACGAATGTTGTAGTTAGAAATTGTAATAGTAGTAGTTGGCTACAAACGTCATAGTTGGTAGCTGCAGTAGCGTCAATTGGCCAAAGAGACAGTAGTTGTAATATATGATAATAGTTGTCCACATAGTTTCTAATTAGGGGCTGAAGAAGCTGCAATAATAGTTGGTTATATAAATCATAGTTGGGGGCTGCAATAACATAATTAACCACAAAAGTCGTAGTTGAAAGCTGTAGAAATCGTTGGTTACATAAGTTATAGTTGAGGGCTGCAATAACGTCAATTGGCCACAAAGACAAGTGGGAAGCTGTAGTAAAAGTTGATCATATAAATTGTAATTGAGGGATGCAATAACATTAGTTGGTCAGAAAAATTATAGTTGGAAGTTATGGTAGTAGTTGGTCACACAGACCATACTTGAGTGCTGTAATAAGTTAAGTTATCTACAAAGGTCTTAGTTGGAAGCTGTAGAAATAGTTGACCATATAAGTCATAGTTGTCAGATGCAATGACAACAATTTGTCACAAAGGTTGTAGTTGAAAGATGTATTAGTAATTCACCACAAAGACAATAGTTAGAGGCTGTAATAGTTAGTTGATCACAAATGTCATAGTTAAAAATTGTAATAGTAGTTTGCCGCATTGGCCATAGTCGGTGACATGATCCCTTCACTCAGAATGAGGTTACAATTTTATATTGAACTCTAATTTTATAAGTATACAACATGATTATAGATCAGGTGTTAGGTACAATATTGGCTATGACGGTCATAAGCAGTGATTGTCGGTGGTCGGTGGTTGGTGATGACATATGGTGACAACTGATAATAGTTAACGTCGATCAACTATTGCGAAGGGTGGAAATTATTGTATGATATTCAATACAACTTTATACGTTACAGTTGTATTTGGATACAATGTTAGCACGCAGGGGTCATAGACGACGGTATTCGATGACGGCCGACAAGGGGTGATCGGAGGCCGGAAGTTACCACCGGGTCTTTAATATAACATTATACGTTACGACCATATTTAGGATACAACATTAGCAAAAAGGGGTCCTCAACAGTGGAGGGTAGTGGCGGCTGGTGGTGGTTGAGGAGGTTGGCGGGTGATGGTTAACGGTGATCGACAGCTACGAAAACTTGAATTTGTTATCGTGTCTTCAATACAATGTTGTACGTTACGATAATATTTATAATAAACAATTATCAAGTTGGGATCTCCAACAGCGGCATATAGACGCAGTTGAAGGTGACCTTAGAATTAAGAGAGCTTGGATTTTCTTGGATTCCTCCCGTTGAGACAAATTTTAATACATAAAATTTGGAGTTTATTTAATCATTAAATTTGTTATTCAAAACCTCTAGAAGTGATTTAAAATTTTGATCGGATTTGCTTGTACTCGATTTGAACCGGTTTTAATATCATTTTTCCCACCAAAATTTTTCAATTTAGAATTCAAAACATCATAACAAATGGCGTATGAGAGCTTCTTTTTCTTAAACTCTAATGCTATAAATGGCGAACACCAACTTGAAGGTAGTTCATTCCTAAACGAAATTTGGCCCTTCTGATCCTATAACACGATGAGCTCCCCTCATGCTCTAGTCCTCCCATACCCCGCCCAGGGCCATGTATACCCTCTCATGCAACTCTCATTCTGCCTCTTAGACCGTGGTTTCAGAATCACTTTTGTGAACACTGAGTTCAACCATGAGCGAGTTGTGGCTGCCATGGCGATGGAGAGTGGGGGCTATGAGGTAAAAAGGTTTCATATGGTGAAAATTCCAGATGGATTGGAAGCTGATGACAGAAGAGACAACTTGGGGAGGATTACAGAAGCATTTCTTAGGGTTATGCCCCAAAGCTTGGAGAAGTTGATGAAGGAGAATAAGGATTCTGCAAAGGAGGAAAGATTCAGCTGCTTTATTGTGGATGGGTACATGGCGTGGTCTCTTGGAGTTGCAAAAGAGATGGGACTTCAAACTGCTGTGTTTTGGACAGCTGCTCCCGGTTTTCTTAGCTTTATATTTAGCATCGGGAAGCTTATTGAAGATGGAGTCATAGATGAAAATGGTAAGCTATTAATACTTGATGAAACTATGTTCAAAACTGCTTAATCAAGGATGTCTTTTTAAAAAACATGTTAGCATTAAGGCTGAAAAAAAGCTCATAATTTTTAAAATATTTACTTAGTATATATTAAATTTTAGTTATTACTTATCATACCAGAATTATTTATTTGTTTATCTACGCCTAATTTATTTAAAAATTAAGCTTAAATATTTGATGGAAAATTAGTGAGGGTATGTGGCATTTCACACGTGTTTTATTATCAGTCCTGTTGATGGACGGCAAGTTTTTTATTTCTGAAACAAGCCTTTTTTTATAAATATAGGGCAACCAAAGAAGAATGGGCTAATCCAACTAGCCCCAGGAATGAATCCTGTAGACTCATCCAAACTTGCATGGAATTGCTTCGACTCCAACACTCGAAGAATAGCCTTCCACCACACTTTCAGCAACGGTAAATCGGTAGCTGAAGAAAAATACATCCTCTGCAACAGCTTCTACGAGCTCGAGAAACCAGCTTTCAATTTCTCTCCCAACATGTTACCTGTTGGTCCTCTCCACGCCAGCCATCAATATGCAAAGCAAATCTCTTTCGGCTCTTTCTGGTCACCAGACGAGGCTTGTCTTGCCTGGCTGGACACAAAGCCGGCAAACTCAGTAGTCTATGTGGCCTTCGGAAGCTCAACCATCTTCAACCAAACTCAGTTCCATGAGTTAGCACTAGGGCTTGAGCTCATGGGTCGACCATTTTTGTGGATTGTTAGACCAGATATGACGACTGATACAGAAGATAATGATAACTATCTTCGTTGCTTTAAAGAGAGAGTAAGGGATAGAGGAAATATTATGAGTTGGTGTCCTCAAACAAAGGTTTTGAAACATCCCGCAATTTCATGCTTTTTATCACACTGTGGATGGAACTCAACTTTAGAAGGAGTGACGAGTGGAGTGCCTTTTCTCTGCTGGCCTTATTACGCTGATCAATTCTATGACCAGAGTTATATTACTGTTGTTTGGAGAGTTGGTTTGAGCTTGTTGTGTGATGAAGAAGGGATTGTTACAAAGGACGAGATAGGCTCAAAAGTAGAGGAATTGATTGGTGATGTTAATATCAAGAAGAGATGTTTGGCATTGAAGGAGATGGCTCGGAGCAGCGTTGAGACGGGTGGTTCCTCATTTGAAAACCTTAATAGGTTTGCGGATGCAATGAGATCACCAAATTATGTTATGTGATGTGCAAATTCGTCTACTATATGAATTACTTATATTTATATATATGTATATCTACTTGAGCAAGTGATGGAATTTTGAAGGCAATCGTATTAGGTTTTATATCATTATTACTGATGCGGCACTATAACTACATTAAATGCACGCCTTGCATTATGACATAATTTTCAGTTTCTTAATATTGTACTCTTCATTTTATTTGATGAAAAGTTGGGTCAGAACAAGTTTTTATCGAATTTTGACTACTATTAATTTAAAAGGATGGCATGTGTCATTTTTATTACATATTTAAACTGCTTGAGATAGAGTTTGATTCAATTTGCGACAATTTTTTAAGAGAATGGTGTTGTGATATATATGAAATTTAAAATGATCGACGACGAAGTAAAAATAGAACTATAAAATTCACACCAGAAAACAACACAGCGGAGAACACAGATTTACTGGTTCGACAAATTGCCTACATCCATGAAGTTTCAGAGGATTTCTACAAATTAAGGAATTTACACGAGTGGATCGTCTCCAATTACAAGAGCGAACTCTTTCTCTCACTTCTTCACTCTTCTCTCTCTAAATCAAGATACGTCGTAGAAGAAGAAAAACGTACGAAAGAAAAACCTATTTCTCTTCTACCACAAGCCAACAAGAAGAAATCAAGAAGAGCATCTTCTTTTGCCACTATCTTTTTTTTCCTTCTGCCAAGCACGAGAAGAATCTTTCACGAACTGAAGGAGGCGTGGGCGGAGACGGGAGAGGAGTTCCTGTTTCGCGAGAAACGGATTGTCAGGAGGAAGCCTTTCTGTTTTGCGAACGAGAGAGATGGAGGTTCTATATCGCGAACGAGAGAGGCAAATGTGGAAGAGAGAAAGGCAGAAGTATTTATTACCTTTTTTTTATTTGAACCGGGCTCTATACAACAAATCTCCCACTTGGAGACCGGTACACAGACTCCAATTTCTTCCTCAAATTGATATTCTTCACTGGCGACGTAGCCCTTTTCCTCAAACGTGTTATTCTTCACACCAGAAGACCAACTGAAGCTGCGCACAACTTCAATTTTCCAGAGTAACGCCCTTTATCAACATATCAGCAAGGTTCTGACTTCCACAAATTTTCTCCTTCCACAAATTTTCTCAGACTTCCACAAATTTTCTCAAGCAACAACTGTCTTTCATCCAACAATGACCGTATAAAGTTATATCTGATTTGAATGTGCTTAGTCCAGGACTAAAATACTGGATTCCTGACAAGGAATATGACGCTCTAACTATCACTATAGATTATGCCCATCTGATTCTTCTTGCCTAATTCTTTCAAGAAGCCCTGTAGCCATATCATCTCCTTTGCAGCCTCTGACACTGCTATATACTCAGCTTCTGTAGCAGACAACGAAACTGTCTTATGCAAATTAGAGCCCCATGACACTGCAGTGCCACCAATAGTATAAATATAGCCTGTAGTACTTCTTATGATATCAATGTCTCCAACTAAATCAACATCAACATAGCCCCGTACCTCTAAACTCTTTTCAGCAAAACACAAGCAAGTTTTTGTAGAGCCTCTTAGGTACCTCAAGATCCACTTCATAGCTTCCCAATGTTCCTTTCCATGATTACTCATGTATCTGCTAACAACTCTCACTGCATGGGCAATATCTGGTCTAGTGCAAACCATGAAATACATAAGTGAACCAATAGTTGAAGCCTAAGGAACCTTACTCATGTGATCTCGTTCATCCTTTGACTTGGGAGACCGATTCTTGCTGAGGCTGAAGTGACTTTCCAAGGGTGTGCCAACTGTTTTGACCTTATCCATATTGAACCTGCTAAGTACATTTTTCACATACTCAGCCTGAGAGAGTCTCAACATGCCTCTGACTCTATCTCAGACAATTCTCATACCAAGGATTTGTTTTGCCGCTCCAATTCCTTCATTGCAAAGTGCTATGACATCTGCTCCTTAAGATTATTGATCTCCTCAATACTAGCACTTGCAATAAGCATATCACCCACATACAACAGTAGGATGATATAAGAATTGTCAAAATACCTGACATAGGAACAGTGATCTGCTTGACATCTGTTGTACCCCACACTTTGCATGAAATTATCAAATTTCTTGTACTACTGTCTAGGAGCTTGCTTTAGACCATACAAGCTCTTCTTCAATATGCAAACTGACTTTTTCTTTCCCTGTACCGCGAACACTTCAGGTTGGTGCATGTAGATGTCATCTTCAAGATCCCCAGATGTCTTCTTCAAGATCCCCATGAAGAAAAGCTCAATCCCCATGAAGAAAGGTCATTTTCACATCTAACTGCTCAAGGAAGAGATCTTCAGTAACCACCATAGACAATACCATTCTAATTGTTGTAGGCTTCACCAAAGGAGAGAAAATCTCAGAATAATCAATATTGTGCTTCTGCTAAAAATCCTTTACAACAAGCCTACAACAAGCCCTTTACAACAAGTCTAGCCTTGTACCTCTTACTGCCATCACGCTCAGTCTTCACCGAGTACACCCACTTGTTGTGTAATACCTTCTTCCCTGATGGAAGATCTACTAACTCCCAAGTCTGATTTTTTAGCAGAGAATCCATCTCCACCTTCATGACTAGCTCCCACTTGCTCAAATTTTCATCTTGCAAGGTTTCTTCATAACTCTGAGGTTCCTTACCATATGTCAGTAGAATGTAGTTTAAAGTTGGAGAATAATCTTGTGGAGAACGTCTAGCCCTTTCTGACTTATGAACTGCAACTGTATGGGTAAACTGCTCTAAAACTAACTGTGAACAATAGGAGTGGATGCCCCGAATCCACTCTCCTTGTCACATGCGTCTCTATCTTGCACTGTGACCTCTGGTAAATCATCAAACTTTACAAACTCAAATTCCTTCAGTGTTGTTTCATAAACTGTACTAGACTTGTTCTTGTACATAACCTTCTCAATGAAAATCACGTTTCTGCTCCTTATGATCTTCCAACCCTGATCTTCCCAGAAACGATATCCAAATGCCTCATCTCCATAGCCAATGAAATAACACTTCTTTGACTTAGCCTCAAGCTTACTACGAGCATCAAAATTAATGAGAATATAAGAAAGACACCCAAAAGTTTAAGGTGAGAGAATTTTACCTCTTTCCCACTCCAGACTGTTTCAGGTAATTCATTGTTTAATGGAACAGATGACTCCCTATTGATTAAATAAATTGCAGTGCTGGCCGGTTCTTCCCAGAAAGTAGGTGGTAGTTCCAAGTCCTTGAACCCACCACCATTATCATACCTCAGACGAGACATTTCAGCTTTAAGCATGTCTCTGTCTCAACCATGGTCTTCCAAGTCTTGAATATACTGAATATATCTAGATTTATACTTCAAGAAATAAACTCATACCTTTATGCTATGATCATCAATGAATGTGATGTACTAACGAGAGCCTCCAAGAGATGCCACTAGAGAAGGTCTCCTCACATCTGTGTGTACAAGATCCAGCTTTCTTACTTTTGGCATCCTGTCACCTTTCAAGAAACTGACCTTCCTCTGCTTCCCCATAATGAAACTCTCACAGATGCCGAGATCAACTATCTTTAGTTATGGTAGCTTACCTCTGGACTGAAGTTCTTTCATACCTCTCTGACTCATATGACCAAGTCTGCAATGCCACAATTTTGTTGTGCTTTCTACAACAGTAATATCAACACTGTTAATTAAACCAATAGTAATATATAACGTACCTATTTTCTTAACCCAAGCCAGTATCAGTGCTCATTTAATAACCTTTTAGGTGCTATATGAGAACACTACTGAATGTCCACACCAATCAAGCTGCCCAACAGAAATAAGGTTCTTCTTCAGTTCAGGAATGTGTCTGATGTGTCTGACACAGGAATGTGTCTGACATTTTGCAGAGTCCACTTGTTCTTGTTTGGAAGTGCAATGTCAATATCTCCCATTCCTACCACGTTCAGAGCTTCTCCATATACCATATATACTTTGCCAAAGTCACCTGCAACATAATTTTGCATCAATTCCCGATGGAAAGTTGTATGGAAAGAAACCCCTGAATCCAGTATATAGTCATTAACAGAACTATGAACTGTCAGCAGTAGTGCATCCTGTGATTCATCAGTTACTGCATTTGCACTAAATTTTTCGTCTTCTAAGGATTCCTGCAGTTCCTCTTTATGTGGCCAATTTTGCCACAATTCCGGCAAGTTACTTATTTACCAGGCCTTTAGTTGCTCCTGCTTCTTTCCTTTGATTTTGATCTTCCCATGTTTGAGTTCCTGTTATGTGATCTCCCGCTGGAATCAACATTTAGTGTCGAACTTGAACTTGAGATCTCACCATAATCTTTCCTCCACACCTCCTTAGCTAAAATCAAATCATGAATATCTTCAAATTTCAATTTTGATTTACCTGCAAAATTACTAACTACCATCCTCATAGCTTCTCAGCTATTTAGCAATGAAGCCAATAAGATCAGTGCACGCATCTCATCATCAAATTCAATTTCCACAGACGATAATTAATTTGTGATAGTGTTAAAATCATTTAGGTGTTGTACAACAGACGTACCTTCTGCCATTTTCAAATTGAATGGTTTCTTCATCACATATACCTTGTTATTCACCGATGACTTTTCATACATACCTGACAGGGCTGCTATAAGATCTGCAGTCATCCTCTCCTTGACTATGTTGTGTGCAACGGACCTCGATAGGGTCAATCGAATAACCCCCAGAACCTGTCGATCCAACAAATTTCATTCAGCTTCATCCATTCTTTCAGGTCTTTTCCCCAATAACGAAAGATGAAGTTTCTTCCCATAAAGTTAATCCTCTATCTGCATCCTCCAGTAACCAAAATCTGTGCCATCGAACTTCTTGATCCCTGAAACTTTCACTTCATCCGCAATCATTGGTTCTGATACCAGTTGTTGTGATATATATGAAATTTAAAACGATTGACGATGAAGTGAAAATAGAATGATAAAATTCACACCATAAAACAACATAACGGAACACACAGATTTATGTGGTTCGACAAATTGCCTACATCCATGGGGTTGCAGAGGATTTTTACTAATTGAGGAATTTACTCCAGTGAATCGTTTCCAT